TGTGAAAATAAACACCCTGGACGCCCATAGAGGAGAGGGTATGTCCATTGTGAAAAAAGGCAACCACAGACCAAGCCAATTCCAGTTTTCTGAGCATGCCTGATGCATTTCAAAGTCTTGAAGTCTATAATGTGAAGAATATCCTCAGATAGCAAGCAATTGAGCTGCAAGTTTGAAAATGACTTGCTAAACGATTGCTAGACTTGCCAAACTTCACAATTTTGTTGCACAATTGCAGCAAGTCTGCATTGCAAGTCTCCAGATCAATGTGCTTTGCAAAAGTGCAGTACACTTGCAGAGATAGGCAGATCCAGCTGTCACTCACGCAGCTGGGTGGATCTCGACAGTATTGTCGGGATCCGTCCTGGCTGCGGCGCTCTCAGTATATCGTAGGCAATATACTTAGCTTTGGGTCATGGGAGGAGGTTAGCAGGGCCGGCCTTAGGCCTTTAGGCGCCCTGTGCGAGAAAACTTTACAGCGCCCCTCAGTGACCACACCCCTCAGTGACCACACCCTTTAGTGGCCACACTCCGTAACCACACCCATTTTTCCAAATATCCGCACCATTTAAAGACTCCTATTTTGTTAAGCCGCAAAGAAACATATTAAAAAATATGATAAAAATAAAACTTTTATTCGAAGGTATTAAACTTGTAGGCACAATATAAGTATTCTTATCAAATAAAACAACAGCAGGCAAACAATAAATGTCAAACTAAAATAGAGTCTATAAAAATAGTGTTAGGTTGTCATGCCAATCCCTTTTTTCAAGTAAGTGCATCTAGAAAAGTAAAAATAGAAAACAGAACACAAAACCCGGAATACTTGTAAAATGAATGAATTACTATATGTCCGAATATACGAAAAATATATTCAGGCTCATAATAATTTGTTTGAGAATGTGCGGCGGCCATGTTGGCCAACAGCGTGTTCTGTGAATGCGTGCCACCATCTTGGAGGCAGGGAGCATGACGTTACATGACGCCATGCATACCTAGATATACACCAAGATGGCGGCGCCCAACACGTGCGGTGTTATATGACGTCATGCGCCCTGCCTCCAGAACACGCCAATGGCTGAATCCAAAATAGCATAAAAAAGTGTTTTGTTTGATGAAACAAATGAACATTTTTTTAGTTTTCGTTAATTTCATCTGAAATTCATTTTTAGTCTTCGCACATGTCTAATAATACGTATGTGTGTGTGAGTGTGTGTGTGAGGGGGGATGCCGGGGGGGCTGTTTTCACTTTTTTAAAATAATTTTTTACATTTTTTATTATTTTTTTCATAATTTTTTTTATTATTTATTTATTTTTTACTGTTGGGGGGCTTTGGGAAATATTAGGGGTCCAAACAGACCCCTGACATTTCCCTTTTAAAATAGAAAAGAAATTGAGGACACCAAATCCTCAATTTCTTATTCAGCAGCCTCAGCACTCAATGAATGGGAAGCTCTCAGTACAGAGGCTTTCCATTCAAATATTTACTATCAGCTGTTTCTGAATGGGGAGGAGCCTCTGTACTGAGTGCGTCTCCCCATTGAGGAAATCTTGAATGAACAGGCTGTGATGTAAATCACCTCCTGTTCATTCATAACTGGGGACACATAGTACTATATGTCCCAAGTTATTTACAAACACTGGACTGATCAGACGATCGCTCCAGTGTTTGTCCTTCTCACACGGAGGACCGGTAAATATCACCGATATTTACCGATCCCCGCACAGCCACGCACAGAGTCGCTGTCATCCTGAAACTGACAAGATGATAGTGGCTCCGATCTCCTCCCCGCTTGGCCATCCTGACAGCTGCGGGTGCGGCGTCTCTCCCCCTCACCGCTCCGCCATACTGACAGCAGGCAGCGCTCCCTCCTGCGCCCCCCCCCCCTAAAGTGTGGGGGGGGAGGGGCGGGCGAGGGAGCACTGTCATATTGGATGGCCAACGATGAGGGGGAGAGAAGCCGCCCCCAAGACGAGCTGTGTCTGCCGCACGGCGCCCTTTTGCCATGGCGCCCTGGAGGGGCTCGCACACCCCTAAGGCCGGCCCTGGAGATTAGTATGTGTCTTAACCAAATGTCTACAAAGGTCAGCAAGAATCTTATCATCTTGAGTGTAGGTGGGGGCACACCTCGTCTCAAGATGAGATTGAAACAATCTGTCTTGCACAAAAGGAAGCTGAGTTAACCTCTTGCCGTCCGCCCGTAGTAAAAAAACGGACGGACGGCACTGCAGCATCTGCGGGTTGCCGTCTCCAGACGGCAAACTCAAAAAGTGAAGATTCACTATTTTATGGGGAACATCTAGAAATGTTATTTCCATCTAAGCAGTACCCATAAAATGTCTATTGAAATATACCAGTGTACTCTCTTTGCTTAGGCACCCCTGTGCCTACAGCCTCATAGTGGTATATCTGCAGTCTGAATCTAAGGCATTATGATGGCTAGTTTCACAGGATTTGGAGTGAGATTTACTGATGTCAGTACTGTGCTCCTCACTGCTCTTCTGAGAGCTTGCAGGAAAGAAAGTTGTGCCTGAGTACTAACAGTGCAAGATTTTCTGTGCTTCTGCATCATTTATTCTGTGGATCTGTGCTTTCGCTACCCTTCTCCTGCTGCCAGTCATCAGATCACCAGTCATGGGGGGAAGCTCTGACATTAGGAAACAAACCCTGTCTCTGCTGAGATAGTCACTTCGATTCATAGACAGTGCAGAACAAGATGTGGGAAAAGGATTAGTTGCAGGCAGTCTGCAGGCAATACTGGTGACTTCTTGGAGGCTTGGTCAGTCAACCAACATTTCAGCCAAAGTACTCTGCACATAATTAATAAGACAGCAGTGACAAGGGCTATCAAGAAGACATCACAATGGTATTTTACCATCTGTTCAACCTGGTAGTTTGCCAGGTTGATAAAATGTTGGGGAGAGTTTTCCACTTAAAAGGCTTTGTAGCTTTTGTTCTGCGCAATGCACATCATTGCTGTCTACTACCTGTTTGCTTCTGTTCAGTAGTAGACATGTAAGCCAGCAAAAAATGTGTTTAGTTTAGTTATTTAGTTTTTCGAGATTCGGGTCTGAAAGTCAATTTGTTTCGGCACTAGGATTCGGATGAATGCGAATTTCATTAATTTCAGAGTTAAATGATCATTACGAACTAAAATTTGTTGCAGAAAAGTGACATTACATGTTTACTTTGTTGCTTTTAAATTTCTGACAACACAAACAAACAAACAAACAAAAAAAAAACAGCATGGGGCCCCTTTATGAAAGGGGGCACCCAGATGCAGATGAGCCCCCTTGCCCGCAGACCCCCACAACCACCTGGTCAGGGTTGTGGGGAATATGCCCTTGTCCCCATCGGCATAGGGACAAAGTGCTTTTCCAGGGGGTCCCCTCCCTAGAAAAGCACCCTCCCAATGCCACGGGCATGTGGCTTGGTATGGTGGGGGGAGGGGGGGGCACACGCCCCCTCCTATCCCACAATATAGTGAGCCGACCGCAATGTGATGCAGTGCGTTCTGGCCAGAATCCGGCAGGAATGCACTGTGTCTAGTGTGACTGAGGCTTAAGGGTCTGGAATGGGATTTTGGGGGAACCCCATTTTATTATTACATGGGGTCCCCCCTAACATTCCTACCAGACCAAAAGGGTCTAGTATGAGTTGGGGGGACCCAACGCTGTTTTTTTTCACATTATTATTATTACTGTGAACAGTTAAACACTTTTGTGTATTCTGTGACAGCTCTCATATTCTTTACATTGGCAATGTTAGTGTCCTCAAAGAAGCAGAAGCTGTTACAGAATAACAGACATCTTTCCGCTTCTTTCATTATTTACATTTTGTAACAATATTGTGTTACTTTGTTTTCATTTGAGATACAAATCAGTAAAGCCAGAGAGCGATAAATGACAGCTCTCCCGCTTGTTATATTTAGTTTGCGAATGAAGCAGATGTATCCGAATTTCGTTCAAAACTTTCGCATTCCTTCAGATTCGTTATTTCTGTCAATCAGATATTCGGATGCATCCAAATGTCCGAATTTACAGAAAATCGTCCGAATTGCATATGTTTATGCAGTAGGGAGGGAAAGTTTAAAGCTGAACTCTAGGCACAAACATGTTAATATTCCTTAATAGCCACAAAGGATATAAATCCACTTTATGTGCACAAAACACTTCTGCCAATCCCTGATATTATATTGTAGCAGCACCTAACTTGTGCAGAGAGCAGAGCTGTGGAAGCGGGCCAGCAGCTTCACCCACTACAGACTGCCTGCAGAGAATTACAGGAGGGAGCAGATACAGGACCAGTCAGCCTGCACAACGAGATTGCAGTAGTGACGGGTCTTTATTACAGGAAGCTCCTGCACAACGTTTCAGACTGGATTACAGCACAGTACACCCAGATTCTGGTAGGAATACACATACTTCTTGAACTTATACATTATTGCTTATCCTGGAGTTCAGCTTTAAAATGTGTTTTAACAAAGCACGTGTATACAAAGACGTGGAAGGGTTTGTCCACAACTGAGGTCACATCTATCAGATAAACAATAGAAGCTGGCTATACAGTGCAGACATTTTTTTTTTTTAGCCAAAGCGCTTCAAGCAAAGGACGATCTGCACTGGCAATGGCAGACTAGCATCTAGAAATCATTCTGTACCCGAAGGGATGCCGTACATTCTTTGAGTGTCCGATAGGTCAAAACCAATGTCAGTTTTCTGCAACCGCGAACGATTGGCTCAACTAACCCCTTCAGCCCCGCCTCCAATTTCCATTGGCGAGCTCATCCCCTTAAAAGACTCTTATTTCTATATTACGGAAATGTAAGAGCGGCATATTGAGCCCGAACGCCACATCATTAAGTAAACATCTTATTGGCTAATTATGTTCTCTGCTTACACACAGCAGCGGGATATACAGGTGTGCCGTGCCCGCTAGACTCTAACCCAGGACAGTGCCA